GGCTGCAATAAGCATAGTTGTGCTGGTAGCTTTAGTGTGGTCTTGTTTGTGATCATTTGGGTAAATGCCCAAAAGTGGGATTGCTGGGTCATAGGGGAACTCTATGTGGAGTCTTTTTTTTTTTCTTTCTTTCTTTCTTTCTTTTGTTAGTCCTGGGGCTTGAACTCTGAGCCTGAATGTTGTCCCTCTCAACGCAAGCACTCTACCACTTGAGCCACAGCACCACTTCCAGCTTTCTGGTGGTTCATTGGCGATCAGAGTCTCATAGACTTTCCTGCCTGGGCTGGCTTTGAACTCCGATCCTCAGAACTCAGCCTCCTGAGTAGCTAGGATGACAGGCGTGAGCCACCAGCGACCAGCCCAAAAAGTTTTTCTTAATTTCATTTTTATCTACTTTTGATGCATCAGAGATAGGGAAAATAAATTACTCATCTGAATTCCTGTGCTCTTTTGGCTTATTACAGCCTAGAAGCTAGTTATAATGAGTACCCCTGCTTTACTGTAGCTGCAAATGGGACTCAGTACTTTGCCTAGTCACATAGTAAGCAGTAAGGGCCATGATTCTAATGATCTGATTACTTTCGGGGGGAGGGTGGGGATTGAGGGGTACTGGGTCTTGAACTCAGGGCCTAGGGGCTATCTCTTAGCTTTTTCTACTCAGTTTGGGTGCTCTACCACTCCAGATCCACTTACTGCTTTTTTTTGCTGGCTCATTGGAAATAAAGAGTCTCATGGACTTTCCTGCCTGGGCTGGCTTTGAACTATGATCCTCAGATCTCCGCTTCCTGAGTAACTAGGATGACAGGCGTGAGCCATGGGGGCCCTGCCTTCAATATGGAAGCGATGGAGCTGTGAACAGGCCATGCACCGCAGGGTTGAAGGCCCAAGAAATAATCCAGCATGACAGTTCCACTCCAGTTGCTTTCCAGAAGCTCTTGGACTGACTTGGACAGAGAAGATAAATATAGAATTTCTAATGCTTGCCAAGGATTTTCGTGGTACGGTGTGCTACTTGGAACTGCGGTTGATTTCCATCTTCTACCTTTACCTCCCACATTCTGAGATTACACACTGACCATGAATGGCTCACGCCTGTCATCCTAGCTACTCAGGAGGCTCCGATCTGAGAATCGTAGTTCAAAGCCAGTCTGAGGAAGGAAAGCTCAAGAGAATCTTCTGTCCAGTTAAGCAGCAAACACCAGAAGTGGAGCTGTGGCTCAAGGGGTACAACACCACCCTTGAGAAAAAAAAAAAACTAAATTAAAGATAAGCGCTCAGGTCCTGAGTTCAAACTCCAGTACTTTCCTCACCCCTCATACATACAAAAAAGTAGAATCTGATAGCTGGGCCCTGGTGGCTCACACCTGTAAATCCTAGCTACAAAGAAGGCTGAGATCTGAGGACTGGGGTTCAAAGCCAGCCCAGACAGGAAAGTCCGTGAGACTCATCAATAAACCACCAGAAAGCTGGAAGTGGCGCTGTGGCTCAAGTAGTAGAGCATTCTCCATGAGCTGAAGAGCTCAGGGACAGCGCCTAGGCCCAGAGTTCAAGTCCACCGACCGACAAAAAAATAGATAAATAAATAAAAATCCGAAAACCTGAGATAGGCATGCTGCTCTACCACATTTGTCTTCTTTTTTGAAAGCTAAATACTATTCCATCGTATATAGACTATATTCTAATGAACTCATCCACTCACAGACATCAGAATTGCTTCTGCCTTTTGCTGGTGTGATTTATTTTCCATTTCTCTTGATGAAGTGCAAGCATTTGAGCTGACATTGATCTGTGCATGCCAACTATCTAATCTTTGCTTCACCTGCTGGGCAGATTGGTGTTGGGCATGGGTGCTAGTGGCTGTTTGTCATCCTAGCTACTCAGAGGCTGAGATGTGAGGATCGTGGTTCAAGGCCAGCCTGGGCAGGAAAAATCCATGAAACTCTTCTCTCAAGGTAACTACCATAAAGCAAGTAATGGATCTGTGACTCAAGTGGTAGAGTTCTAGATTTGAAAAAAGAAAAAAAAAGGCTGGGAAGGTGGCTCAGTGGTAGAGTGCTGGCCTAGCATGCATGAAGCCCTGGGTTCCATTCCTCAGTACCACAGACACAGTAAAAAGCCAGAAGCGGTGCTGTGGCTCAAGTGGTAGAGGGCCAGCGCCCACCCTCTGATATCTGTGAACTAGAGTTGAGCAGCAGCGCCCTCTGTCGGTCAATCAGCCAAAATCATGCCTCACACATTGTAAAGGAAGGCTGGTCAGGCCAGCTCATGGCCCTTGGTCAGCCCAGGCCTGTGTGCTTGTCAGCCAAGTTGCTTGAAGTGTTCAGGTTCTAAATAGCAGAGAGCTCAGGACTCTTGGGGAGTCAGGAACACTCCAAGAAGGTGCTGGGGTATTCCTCCTTTTTAATGATGACTCTGGGGCTAGTTTTAACTCTATAAATGATACGAGTGAGATCCAGAGAGGTTGAGTATTTGAGACAAAGTCACACAGCTGTAAACTGACCAGACTCGAATTGCTCCTGTGCTGTTGCTATTCCCTTGGCTCAGAATTAGAGGAGTTTGGTGTGATTCGGATGCCCACGGGAGGCGAGGGTGTTGGGGATTACAACTCTTACCATTCATCAGTTGTGCCGGACACTGGCAGCTCACGCCTGTCATCCTAGCTACTCAGGAGACTGAGATCTGAGGATCACAGTTCAAAGCCAGACTGGAGAGAGAAAGCGTAACATAGAGATCATAACTAAGTAAAACCTAGTCATCTGCACTTGAAGATCTGAAAGTCAGGAAGGAGAAAAAACATTATCTAGCTACTCAGGAGGCTGAGATCTGAGGATCACAGTTCGAATCCAACCTGGCATGAAAGTTTATCTGGGCATGAAAGTCCATGAGATTCTTATTTCCAATTAAACACCAAAAAAGCCAGAAGTGGAACTGTGGCTCGGGTGATAGAGTACCAGCCCTGAAGAAAAAAAAAAAGCAAAGTGACGGTGCCCAGACCTTAAGTTCAAGCCTTAGGACTAGCACAAAAAATGAAAATAATAAAAAGATGCTGGGTACCAGTGGCTCCCACCTGTCATCCTAGCTACTCAGGAGGCTGAGATCTGAGGATCACAATTCAAAGCCAACCCCAGGAGGAAAGACCATGAGACTGTTATCTCTAATAAACTAATCAGAAGTAGCCGGAAGTGGCGCTGTGGCTCAA